ACATGACCACGATCAGCGCCAGCGGCGCCAGGTAGATGTGCGAGAAGAGCACCGCCGTGTAGACCTTGCGCATGCCCTTCTCGGGCCAGGCCTCCCAGCACGAGTAGAGCGGGTAGGAGCGGTTGCGGGCGTCGACCATGAAGTGATGCTCCTCGCGCGTGACCGTCAGTGTGACAGCCGAGGGGCACATGATAAGCAGGGCCAGGGCCCAGATGACCGCGATGGTGAGCAGCGCCTTCCGCAGGGTCAGCTTCTCGCGGAAAGGGTGCACGATGCAGCGGAACCTGCGGCGGCGGAGGAAAGAGAAGCGGAGGTCTGAGCGGATCCCAGTGGTTCCCGGGATGAGCGCTAACTCTGACCCAGGGTTGGCGGGGTGGGGGCACTTTACATTCGTCATCGCACCTTAGGCAGCATCGAAGAACAGCTCAGACGTTAACCAAGTTCCTTTGTTCGTAGGTTAATTGGTTCCTCACCCGTGGGGCAGCCATCTCCTCAGCTGAGAGCCGAGGAACAAAGGCAAAAAGCAAAAACAAGAAAACCCGGGCCCTACAGGTCGGGAATGGAGGTTGGGGGACACTGCAGGCAGTGTGGGTAAGAGTGAATCCTGTTTGTGCACCTTGGGGGATAAACCGATTATCCCACAGCTAGCAGAGCCATCAGCCCCAACGTTCTGTCCTGGAGTAGGCTGACTGGATAGATGAATCAAAGAAAACAGTTTGTCTCTGTTTATGGCTTCTTTAGAAAATCTTGGGTGTTCAAGTGGAGCCTACATCACAGATTGTCTCCATGTCACCTTGGCCAGCGTCCTTCCAACAATTCCTCCACAGTTTTAGGACTGCGCCATTTCCTCATTAGGACCTCTCAGCAGTGATTATTATTACACCCTTACTTTACAGATGAGGAAACTGGGGTTCAGAGGTGTTAAGCAACTGGCTCAAGGTGACACAGATGGCAGGTAGCAAGAAGCAGCCTTGAACCCAGATTTGTCTTACTCCACTATGCATTTAAACCTGCAGCTGTAGGCCCCTGCTGTGCATTAGAATCTCCTTAAGCATTTTTAAAAATACCTGTGCCCAGTTCTCCTGGCCAAAGATGACAATATAATTAGTCAAGGAAAGTCACATGGCAATTCAGGGGCTGAACCTGCACTAGAACACAGATCTAGCACTGACTCCTAGCCAAGTACTCTTTCCACTTCACCAAACTGTGTCCTGCTCTCCTGCCTCCCCACCCTTTTCCCTACTTGACAGCGTCTTCTGCTTCTCCCATGGTCTGTCTCAAGCCTTGTTTCCTCAACCTACATGACTTTGGCCTACTGGTTTCATAGCATCACATACTTAAGACATTGCCAGGGAACGAATAATTCTTAAAGCATATAGTACTGGCTATAAGTGCAACAGCACTTAATGGATGGAAGAGAATCCCGGGACAGACCAGGAAGGCTGCCTGGAGGAGACAGGAACTTGAAGAATACTGCAAACACCACTGGGAGATGTTGCCCACTCACATATCATTAAAAATGATAACAAAATGAGGGTTGGAGAAGAAAGACTTACCCCAGTCACCCAGCTAGTTAGTGGCCTTGCATAGACAGGAACCCAGTTCTACCTGTCTCCCCAGATGCCTACTTCACTGGGTCACAAAAGACTGTATTGGATGAGGGCACAGATAGAGAGAGGATAAGGACACTAGATTCTAGAAAGGGTGGAGCTAGTAAGTGCCCCTACTGGGAAGAGGACAAGGAGGAGGGTGTGGGTATAAGGAGGAAATCGAATAATAATAATTAGCTGACATCTGGGCTCTGTGCTAGGTGGTGGTATCAGCTTTACAAACAGAAATTCACTGAAGCCTCCCAGCCACCCTGTAGGGTATTAACCATTTTACAGATGAGAAAACTGAGGCTCAGAGTAGTTAAGTGACTTACCCAAGGTCATACACCTAGGCAGCCCTCCAGATTACCTACCAGCCTCCTTTGCCCTGGGAGAAGCACGTGGTGTGAACCCTTCTTGAAAGGGCTCATGAGAGGGAGGAGGGGAAGAGGACCTACTGCAGTTAGGTCAGTTGTACTGCTTGCAAAGAAAGCCTCCTTGGTCCCTGGCTCCATTCCATTAGCAGACCCATGCTTACCAGGGCATCTGATGGAATCTGAGGCTGAAAGACCAGATGTAGCTGGAGATGGTGCAGAGGGAGAGTCAGGGACCAGCAAGGAGGCCATGAGGTGGAGTGAAGGAGAAGAAACACTTCCTCCAGCCACAGTGAGGCCCACCCCTTAAGTGGCTCCCCCGGCTCAGACTCATGGGTGGCAGGATTCCTACTGCTCGGGAAACAAGCACTGCCCTCTAGCTCCTCTTAGGGCCCAGGAGTCCCTATTAAATCTCCTCAGGAGCTGCCTCCAGGCCTTCCAGAAGGAGGTGGCAGTATCCTCTGCAGTCCGCCAAGTCTAGAAGGCAGTCAGCCCCACAACCCTCCCTCTGCGGTTCTGGATTGAGGCCCGCTGACCACAGAGCAGCTCCAGCTTTCTGGCAGGCACAGCAGTGGAGACAGCGGCTTATCCCGGTGCCTGGACTGAGTCAGCCCAGGACAACCAAGCCAGGAACCCTCTTACCTTTCCATGGCAATGGCCACCAGTGTGAAAACAGAAGCTGACACTGACATGCCTTGCACCAAGCCACTCATCTTGCATGTGGCGTTGTCGAAGGGCCACCCTGCAATGACAGAGGCCACCGGAGAGTGAGAAATGCCTCGCCCACGAAGAGTCAGAGATCTCGAACCATTAGGCTAGTTCCCTCAGTGGCTTGAGTCTTTCCTCCATGTCCTGCTAGGTGGTGATCCCGCTTCAGCTTATACACTTTCAGGAGTGAGGACCTTCCAGCCCATACCACTGTGGACAGTCCTGACTATTAGAGAGACAGTCTTTATATTGATCGATGATTTCTCTCCATGAGCTGTAGATCCATCCAGCCCTGCCTGGCTTTCTGTTCCCATAGCCCTGCCCCAGGTTCTAGGCCTGTGGTTCTCAACCCTGGCTGCTCACTAGAATCAACTGAGAGCTTAGAAAAGAACCAGTGCCCAGATTCATGCCAGACTAGTTACAATATGAATCTTTGGGGGTAAGACTCAGACATCCATTTTTTTTTTGAGAAAAGGTAGATTTATTCAGACAGATACATTGAAAGGCAAGAGAAAGGCCACGAGGTGTGGGGGTTGGGTGCTCAGATCAAAAGTAATTACACACTCCACAGAGTGTGGGCCGTCTCTGAACAGAGAGAGAGAAGGGCTGCCCAGACAACCATATTTTTCAAATCTACCCAGGAGATTTCAGTGGCAGCCAACGCTGAGAACCACTAGGATAGATCAACCCTGACTCTCAGGTTGGGGGGAGATATAAGCAGCTCTAGTCCCTCCTACCTGACATCCTCACTCTCATCCTTGAGCTTCTGCTTTCTCATGAGACCTGGGTCCCACCTGCTCTCAGGACTGGTAACCAGGTCCACATCGTAGTTACCTGACACCATGTGTTGGCAACTTTCTGGCATGTCGAAAGGACACAGGAGCCAAATTGAAAGAGCTCCCAATAGTCAAACTGTGGGCAATTTAAGCAACAAAACAATGATAGTACTGGATTATAACCCACAGAATAGAATAAATGTAGAAGGAATGCTATAAGTGGAAGATCAGCATTGAGGAAATACAACAGTAATAATTGTTGCAGACAGGAACCATCAAGTGGATGTTAAAATTAGTGGGCACAAGTATAGTGAGAAACAAGACATTTGCATAGTCTCAAAGTATCTCCCCATAAGATACTTGATTATAAATGGGAAAATGGTAGCTTTGTCATGGAAAAACCTGGTATACACCACGTTAACCAAGTGATCAAAGTTAATACCACCATGGATACATAAAGATATCATGTGCCTTTATCAATATATCATCTGTGGTAGTCCCATCAAATATGCATTAACCAAATCTAATTATAAGAAAAGACAAACCCAAGTTGCAGGGCACTCTGCAAAATAACTGATCAGTAGTCTTCAAATGTGTCAAGGTCATGAACATCAAGAAAGATCAAGGAATTGTCACAGGTTGGAGGAAACAAACAAAAAATAATTAAATACACTGTATGGTCCTCAGTTGAATCCTGGACTGGAAAAGGACATTTGTGGGGACATGAGTAAAATTCAGATGAAGTCTGCAGATTAGTTAATAGTATTGTATCAGTGCTAATTTCCTGGTTTCAATCATTGCAGTATGGTTATTTAGGATAGTAATATTAGGGGAAGGTGGGTGAAGAGTATATAGGAACACTATACCAGTTTTGCAACTTTTCAGTACATTTATCTAAAATCATTTCAAAATAAAAATTAAAGAAAATAAATCAAAGCAAAAAAAGCCCTCCACACTCAAAAGGCTACATACCATATGGTTTCATTCATATGATATTCTTACAAAGGCAAAACAGTATTTTCTGTCCCTACAAGAAAACAGATCAATGGTACCAAAGAGTGGAGGCAGGGACTGACCACAAAGAGGCAAGAGAGAGTTTTCTGGGCCAAAGAAGTTGTTCTATAGCTTAAATTGTGGTGGTGTTCACATGACTGTACATGTTTGTCAAAACTTGTGGAACTGTACACTAAAAAGGGTGGTTTTTTTGTATATTAAATTATACCTTAACAAAAATACCTAAATGTGTAACATGAACACATGCACAATGCACATTTTGCAGGAAAGTTTACAAACTATTACATTTAATAGAACATCCATCAGTGGGGAAAGGGGATTTGGAGTTGGGTAAGGGTACAGAAGGGAATGAATAACAAATAAACAAGGGGCTTTCCAGTAGAGTGAAGTCACATAGTACCCCGAACAGTGGATACAAGGAATTCAACTCTCTGCACTTGTGCTCACAGAACACAGAAACAAAACCAAAGGGAAAAAAGAAGCTGTGAGAAGTTTTATTCTATTGCAGAAGATTCTATCTGATACAAGCTAAATACCCATCAAAAAGAGACTGGCTAAATAAATTGTAGTACCTCTATACAATGCAATTCTAAGCAGTCATAAAAAGAATGGAAATCTCTTTCATTTATTAGTATGGAATAGCTCCATGTAAGTTAATTTTAATGTGTCCTATTTACAAGTTACATGCTGTATTCTTAAGCAGAAAAAAATAAAGGTGCAGAAATGACTAATTAGAAGTTAGCATTTCCTTAATTTGCTTGCACATATATAAAATATTTTTGAAAAGTGCTTGTACTTATATAAAATATTTTTTGGAAAGTGATACAAGAAACTGGCAACACTGGTTCCCTCCCAGGAGAGAGCTGGAAGACCAGAGCACAGGGTGGAAAGGACATTTTTCACTGGATAATTTTTGGTATCTTTTGACTATTGAACCACATGAATGTGTTGTCTGTTCAAACAATTTCTTAAATTTAGGCATGTGAAAGGACTGGCAGACAGCACCTTAACCAACTAGTGACCTCACCATGTCATTGTTGACTGGTGAGCGTGTATGTGCCTGTATGTGTGTGCATCTCTGCACATGAGTGTGTGCATGTGTGTGTGTGTCTACACGCGCTGGGAGGGAGAAGGATCTGCCATTTCAGTTCAGCAGCCCTGAAAAACCCTGGGATTCAGCAGTGATTAAAGATCCCACTAGGCAGAGCCAGCAGAGCTGTGGGGACGCCGACTGCCCTGACTCCACTTCCTGGGTCCCGGAACCAACAGAAACATGGGCTGTGCCTCCCCCTGCCTCAAGCCAGGTAAGTCACTCCAAACGGGGCTGTCCAGGCTCTGGATGCTGAGCACCTGGGAACTCTGAGCTCAAAGCCTACAGGCTCAGACCTCTAAGGGTCCCCACAGTTCTGGAAACCAGTCCTTCCCACCCAGAGTCTTGGGGTCTTTGGAGCCTTATTCTGAAACAAGAATTTCAAATCACAGACAGAGAGATGATGGCATTGGGATCTTTCTGATGTGTGCAGGATGAACAGGCAAGAATTTTTAGGTCAGGTGGTCTAGTTTGGCTTGAATCCCTTCTACCAACTCCCTGCTAAATGGTCGGCCAGTCTTTACTTACAGACACTCTCAGCGACAGGGAGCTCACTATCTGTAGGAAAGAACTCTCTTTTGTTAGAGAACATCTCAAATAAGTGGATTTTTAGGTTCTTATTCAGAGGAAACCTGCCCCCCTACCACTTCCCACTGCTTCTAGTTCTGTCCATGGCAGCCACCTGGGAGAGTAGGACTGCATGGTGTAGTGGTTAGAAATGTGGACGTGAGAATGTGGGACTTGATACCTAGCTGTGTAACTACAGACTCATCCCTTAATTGCTCTGAGCATCAGTTTTCTCATCCATAAAGTGGGGGTAACAATAATGCATACTTTATCAGACTGTTGTGAGGAAGAATATATCACACAATGCCTGGAACAAAGGAAATGATTAATTGGTTGCAACTATTACTTCTAGTCTAATCCCTCAGCCACAAGACTGTCTTGAGAGTTTGAGACAATGGCATCTTGGCCCAGAGACCAGGCCAGCCAGGATTTTAGAGGAGAGGGGTACTCCTGCTGCTTCTATTGCCTACACTCACCAGTGATGAGGTTGTCCACAAGGGTGGTGGGCATGCAGAAGATGCCCACCAGCAGGTCGCTGACGGCCAGATTGAGGATAAACATGTTGGTGACAGTGCGCATGTGCCGGTTCTTGAGCACAATGAAGCAGACCAGGGCGTTGCCCACCATGCAGAGGAGGAAGATGAGCACGTAGGCCACGATGAACATGGCCGCCACTGGGGAGGAGTGCTGGTAGTAGGAGAAGAAGGTGAAGTTTGCAGCTGGGGTGGCCTCAGCATCACTCCCATTCTGCCTTGGGGGCTGGCTGCCGTTGGAAGGCTGGGAGGGCTCCCCTAGGAGCAAAGGAGCACACAGGTCAGGATCCTAGACGGAGAAGAGAAGACTGATTTCTCACCATTGGTGAGATCCTTCTGTGTTCCAAACCCTGATCATGTCCTGGTACCCCGATCATGTGCTCAACTCCAACTGCAACTGGATGATCCAGGACTTTCAACCCATGGTCACTCAAACTGTGATCTCACACCTCCCACCCCATCTTGTCCACGACTCATTTCCCAATGTTGGTTACTCTCCATTTGCACACTATTCCCCTCTGCCCATCTGGGCTCCAACCTTCTCAGCTCACTCTGCCCCAGAGGATGACCTCTCAGGACTACATTACCCAGGTTCCCTTGCCCTCTGGTCTTTGACTGGGTTCAGCCAGTGGGAGGCAGTGAAGGAGACTGGCAGAATGGAGAAGTGAGAGGTCAAGGTATTCACTTCCTGACTCCCTCCCTGCCTGGCCCAGGTATGCCCGTGGGGCTGTCTTTATGGGCAGAACTCCTGTTGGGTGCCTCCTCTTCCATGGCTTTAGCTCTTGCTGGACCACAGTGACCATTCCCTCTCTGCACCGACAGCTTCCTATGATTGCCAGTCCCTGGGTGTGTCACCATCCCTTGCTGGTTCTGTTACCCTTCCCGCCCCCTTCTAAAGTCTCTCTATTCAACTCTCTTCATTTAAACGCTTTCTGAGTGCACCACCTGTTTTCTTTTGGGATCCTGAGTATTACACCCTCAAGGGAGATCTTTGATATCTTTCGTCAACATCTCCCCCACAGAATTTAGTTGGCAAAGGCAAGACAGCAGTAGAGGAAGGGAGAACGAAAGGGGATCCTGAACTAGGGCTAAGGAGCAAAGACATGTGTTAAATTCTCTGGAAGACCATCCAAAGCCAAGGTCACAACCCACCCTTTACCTCCTCCCATCGTGGTATCAGCTGCCTCATTTGAACAGCATCTAACAAAGCACTTCCATATCTGTTATTTTATCCAATCCTCCCAGCTACCCCATGAGGTTAACAGGTTAGGTATTAGCCCCATTTGAAATGGGAGAACTGGGATCAGAGGGGTTCCATGTCTCACTCAAGGGGCACAGGAGTCTGCCACAGAGCTGGCCCTGCTCTGTGTGTCCTAATTCATCCCAGGTGTCAGACATGTCTGGAAGGGAGCAGTTCAGTGTCCAACCACAGCTCTTCTGGGAAGTCATTAGTTGTGGTGACTCACGATGTTGTCTTGTAAACTCTCCTCCTGCCTTCCTCCAGGACTGACTGTGGCCTGTTCCAGCGGATGGAGAGTCTTTGGAGAATCTCCTGTCACATCCAGAGCTCGGCCGCTGGCCCGGAGGCCCACTGGAAGCTTGGGATCTGGAGGCTTTAGAGACCCTGGGGGACCACAAGCCAATGAGCTGGCACATTCAGGGTCTCAGGGACACTTGGGTGGCAGGCGGAGGGCCTGCCAGTGGAGGGGGGATAGATGGAAGTTTCTGGTGCACAGTGAGAGGAAGAAACGACACTCTCGCTTAGGCCAGCGGCACGCAGTCGTACCTGAACGTCTTTATTTTAATATAGAAAATGTCAAATGTGTACAGACAAGAATGTAATAGTGAACATATACAAGAGTATATAGGTTAACGAACTGTGACAAGAGAGAAGAATATAAAGAATCACCACGTATACATCATCCACCTTCAGCAATTATCATCTTAAAGCCAGTTTTGTTTCATCCATACCCACACCTCTCTCTGGATTATTTTGAAGCACATGATCACATCACTTCTTTTCATCCATAAACATTTTAGATTGTATCCCTAAAAAACTAAGATTCAAAACCCCCCATAAACACAGTATCATTATCACACCGAACAAAATTAACAATTATGTCAAAATATAATCAATTTTCCAGCACCAGCATTAAAAATTCCCTGATGGTAACAGAATTTTTTAAATAATTGGTTTGTTTGAGTGAGGAGCCAAACAAGATTTCGGTTTCTATTATGTATTATTATGTGGCAAAGCATCCCAAAATTTAGGGACATGGCACTGTGGCTTAGTAACCTGGGTGCTCCCTCTGCAAGTGTCTCTTGGAATCACTCATGCAGCTCTGGTCATCTGATGGCTCAACTGGGGCTGGCAGGTCCAAGATGACCTCCCTCATATGACTGGTGATAGGGGGGCTGTGGTGCCTTAATTCTCTTCCACATGGCCTCTTATCCTCCAAGAGGCTACACTGGGCTTCTTCACAGCTTGGTGTCTCAGAGTTCCAACAGAGCAAAGGAAGAAGCCACAGGCTCCCTAAAACCTAGGCTCCAGAATTTTCACATCATCACTTCTGCCACATTTTGTTGGCCAAAGCAAGTCACTAAGCCAGCTCAGACTCAAGCCAAAGGAGAAGCAGTTTCCACCTCTAGATAGGAGTGGCAACATTACACTGAAAAGGGAGTGGACACAGGGAATCACGATTCATGAGGGTCCATCATTATAAAATCCTTCACCATCTCCACAGTGCTTCTGATTGATGTGGTTCTTAAGCCTCTCTTAGTTTCTAGGTTCTTCCTGTTTCTCTGTCATCTGCAATTTACTTATCATATAAATATCTGAGTCATTTGTCCGTAAAATTTCTTGCAGACAGGATTTTGCTGATTGCTCCCTGGTGATGTCATTTTACACATTCTACTCTCTGTCCCCTGTATTTCTGGAAATGATAATTAGATCTAGAAGCCTGCCCAGATTGTATCTGGTGGTCTCTTCTTTAATGCTAAGCTTGATCAGTGAGCTTACGTGATGTCAGCCTGATTCCCCAACCCCTACGCCCGCCGTCAAGTTTCCCATCAGCTTTTCACCGATGTTTCCAGCAGCAGCCACTGATTATTGCCTAGACTCCTTGTTGCATCTCAAATACAATCCAAACTCTATACTGCAAGGTCTGATGCCTGTTGCCATAACTCTGGCCTCACCCTCTGCTACTCTCCCTTTTGTCCTTTGTGCTTTGGCCACCTTGCAATGCCTCCTACACACTGTAGCTCTTCACAACCTCAATGCCTTTATCTCTTCCTGTTCCCTCTGCCTCTTCCCCTCCTTTATTTCTTCTCAGAGAAGCCTGGCCTGATCACTCTATTGAATTTAGGTGCACCACTATTATCTCTTACAGCATCCTGTTTATTTTCTTCAATTTGCCAATATTTTATTTCTTTCCAGGTTTATTGTTTTTTTCCTCCACCTTTGAAAGTCAGCTCCTGGAGAGCAGGGGTCTTCCCTCTCTTGTTGGTGGCCATATCCCCAGCATCTCGTCAGTGCCTGCCCATTGTAAATGGTTCACTAAATGGTTGTTGAGTGGATAAATATTTGTATGAAGAGGAAAAGGAAGGAAGGGTGGATTCTGGCATCAGGTGACAGGGTCTGGCTCAAAGCCGGCATTGTTGGTGTTGGAAGGACTTCTCCAGGGTCCTCCGGAAAAACCTCCATCACAGAGTCTGTTGGGAGCCTCTCCAGACAGGTCACCCTTGCTGAGCCTCAAAATCTACCCCCATGACTTGGGGAAATCTGAGGGTGTGGATGGGTAGAGGAAGTTGCCAGAACCTGCCTGGCTAGACTCCAGTCTCTCTGTTTCCCCTACTGCCTCTCACCAGGCTCAGGGAACTGCTTAGTGAACTCATATTCCAAAGCCTATTCCTGAGCAGTGTCTGGGAGCAATCCCGCCCATCCCTGGACCCTTGGCTAAGCCTGGACATCAGTCTCTACACTTAGGCCAATTTCCAGCCTTGTAGACTGATTTTTTTTCTTAAGGAGAAAAAACTCCTTCCTATTCCTGGCAGCGCCCCTGGACTTCTACCCAACGTGGGCCCCGTGCCGGCAGATGGGGACTTCATTAACACTCTGGACTTTTCCTTCCTGAGATCTGCCTGGTGCCCTTGTGGATACATTACAGCCTGTGAAAATTTCATCCACTGAACCCAGTTAAGCCATTTCCCTACTAGGGGAGCCTCCTGGAGGTCTTGGGATATAATAATCGTTGCTTCCAGGGCACTGTAATGATCTCAGAGATCAAGCTCTGAGCCACTGAAAATCTGGGGCCAGAGAGAAGATGGGGATGCACTGGTTCTCAGTGTGTGGTCCCCAACCAGCAGCATCAGCATCACCTAGAACTCATTAGAAATGCAAATTCCCAGTCCTCACCCCTGATCTAGGGAACCAGGAACCCAAGGATCTCTGTTTGAACACATCTTCCAGGTGATTCCGATGCACACTCCAGCCTGGGAACTGCAGAGCTAAAGGACTTGGACCAAAGACCCTGGAGGTAGTGGACGCACAGACTGGGAAGTCCCAACTCTCTCTCCTGGTGACTACAGGCAATAGACGGAATATTTGTGTCCCCTCGAAATTCATATGCTGTAACCTAGTCCCCAGTGTGATGGTATTTGGAGGCAGGGCCTTTGGGAGGTACCACTGACCCCTGAACAACGGATGGGGGTTAGGAGTTCTGACTCCTGACCAATGGAAAATCCAAATGTAACTTTACAGTCAGCCCTCCGTGTCAGGATCCACATCCATGGAGTCAACGAAGCACAGACCATGTAGTATCGCAGTACACATTTATTGAAAAAAATCTGTGTATAAGTGGACCTGGGCAGTTCAAGCCTGTGTGGCTCAAGGGTCAGCTGGAATTAGGTCATGTGGGCAGGCTCTCATGAACAGGATTAGTGTCTTTATCAAAGAGACCCCAGAGAGCTGCCTTGTCCATTTCACCACAGGAGGACACAGGGAAAATATGGCCGTGTATGAACTAAGAAGCAGCCCTCACCAGACACTGGATCTGCACCTTGATCTTGGATTTTTCAGCCTCCAGAACTGTAAGAAATAAACTTCTGTTGTTTAAGCCGCCCAGTCTGTGGTATTTTGTTTTAGCAGCCCGAGCAGACGAAGACACCTCCTCATCTGCGTGGGAGCTTACTCTTCTCACCTTTAAACTGGAAACAGACCGTTCTTGGCTATGACCTTGGGTAGGTCATGTCACCTCTCTGGAAACCAGAGTCCTCACTAGTAAAATGGAGATAAGCTCACTCGTACTGAAAAGGGGTTGTGCTGGGGAGTGAGTGAGAAAGTGTGTGAAGAGAACTTTGCGCAATACCAGGGTGTGGGCCTCCCTGCAAGCCTGAAAGATGTGTGAGAGCGAAAACAACACCAAAATGAAGATGCTGAGCACGGACTCCGTCTGGGTACTTCCTGGTGTTCACAGCTCTCATCATTGTCACCACCTGCTGGTCTGTCCTGGGACCATACGGGAGCTCAGCCCCAAACTAGAGACCTGAGTTCGTCATTCAGCACCCACTTCCTGAGAGCCACCTGAGTGAACACAGCCTGGGCCAAGAGCCACTGGGGACTGGCTGCAGAACACAATAGAAAGCAGTACAAATGGCTAATGAGACAAAAAGTTCACTTGTCATTAAAAAAAAATGCAATTTTAAAGGAACACTGGGGTGAGCTTTCTATCACTCAGATTGGCAGAGAGAAATGCCCCGTGAGGGCCAGAGTGTGGCTGTGCAAGGTGGCTGTGCAGGAGGACCACTGCTGAGGAAGGAGGCTCCTGAGACCTGCAACCTCGCTTCTGCCCCTTCTGGAGGCTGGGTTAAAGCCCACACATCCCAGGCACCCAGCACCGCAACACGGGTTTTTGCAAGCCCAGCCCCTTCTCAGTAAGAGCAGGCAAGCCTTCCGAGAATCGTTGGGTTGGCAGAGGCCAATGGCTGAGGAGCCCCTGGAGCGGCCAACAGGAGCCCCAGACAAGCTTCTTTTTGCACTTCCCTTTCTCCTACGCTGAAATCTTTTCATTTCTCCTCACCTCTCCCCAGTGACCTCCTTCCCCTGCATGGGCCTTCCCCACAAGTCACCCACCTCCATGCAGTGTGAGCAGACATCTGCCAGCTTCTGGCCTCCCTCAGCCGCAGAGCTCTGGGCCCAGCAGGTAGTTGTGAAGGCTGCCAGGGGCTCTGAGGAAGCCACGAGAGAGACTAGGCTTTGGCTGGGAGTGGGTGGGGAATGCTGCCCTCTGCTGGCTGACCCGCAGCACCCCGTGGCGGCCTAGGCCCAGTGGGGAAGGCCTGGGAGGCGGCTGCCGGCTGCTCCCAGCATCTCTGCAGGAGGCTGGGCAGACTGCAGTGTCTGTCTGCAGGCGTTGGGAGAAGGCTCCTGGGCCCTCAGAAACCCCACCATATTTTTGGTCCAGCCACCCAAGAATCCCCACTTCTGCCCTCCAGTCAGTAACCCAGCAGGTCAGACCTCCTCGCTCAGGATGGGTAATAAGACCTGGTGAGGACACAGTTTCTAGGCCAACTCTGAGCGGTAGAAAGGTCTTCCTGTTGTTGAGTTGGGCTGTCCTACTATAACTCGCCCAACTTGTCCCAGTTCTGCTCCTTGGAGCCAGACAGAATAAAAATGAGCCCCTGTCCCCAGGATCATTCCCCCTCCTCACCTTTTTCCCACCCTGAACATTTCAGTCTCCTTGGTAATTGGAATTCTAGGTTCATCTCACCATCGATCCATTTTGACCCCTAGTAATTTTCCTCAAGATTACAAGCCAGATCTCCCCTATTTGAAATGTATGCAATTAATTTTTTGGATCTAAATTCAGGATTTTGCATTTCACTTACTTTTACATTTCATTTTCTTGGTTTTGATCCAGCATTCCAGATTATTGAGATACCCTTAAATCTTAATCTTAAATCTTGAATCTGTTGCCGTGTGGGTCTTAGGGCTCTTTTTGTCCCTCTAAATCATTTAATGTCATGTCAAGGTTAGAGTCCAAGGGATCTCTGGGCTGCATTTAAGCCTTAATAAAAGCCCTGTTTGTCAGTCCTCCAGCCCCCTTTCCACAGCTCTCTGATGGTTCACAGGGCTTTCGTGAGAGATCTTAGCAAGGTCCTGTTGAATGTCCTAATTCATCTTTCTACCTCTTAGGAACCCAGTCTGTAAGAGGAAATGTGGTAGGTTTAGCCTGATTTGTTCTTAGAACTAATATTGGCTCCTCATGACCACTGCATTATTTTCTTTCTTTTTGAAAAATAAAATGCTTTTTTTAAAAAATATGCTTACTATAAAACAGCTCTGACCACTACAAAAGAAGAAGGTAAAATAAACATCCCTGAAATTTCACACCCAGAGATGACCCCCATGGCCGATGCATTTGTGATGCTCCCAGCCACATCCCAAAGGTTCTGGCTGGGTGAACTGTTCCCTGCACTTCCAGCGCCCCAGCAAGCCTGCACTAGGGCTCTCTCTGCTTTGTTTTCTTTGAAGCCACAATGGGAACAACCTAGAAGTGTGGGAGTGGGACAACCCTACCCAACGGAGAGGAAAAAAACAGTAGTCTTCTCCTCATCCCGAACGGGGAAAATCTCCAGTGCATTCTGCACTTTTCTCAAAAGGTGTCCAGAAAGACAGAACCCCAAGGGCCCATGGCTCAACCCAGCTCCTTCACACACCTGGTTCCAGTTCTTGCCTTTTCCCCCTGTCCCATCTCACTCTTCTGCCTCTGCTTCTGGGCATCAGCTCCTTGTCTTAGGGTATGCTTTTGGAAGCATGAGCATCCAAACAAAGATGTTAGTGATCATCTCTTTGTATATATTTTACACATATATCCAATAATAAGCCTATGTAATTTTGCATAGAGGGGATCATACTGCACATGTTCTAAAACCTGTTTTTAAAAAAATTACTCACAGTAGGCAGTAAACATATTTTCAAGTCAGTAAATAAAATTCTAAACACAGTTCTTAATGTCTGTATAGCAAGCCATAGCAGGTGTTCTCATTATTTAATTTACTTAGTTTATGGCCATCAAGATGATTTTCAGTTTTCACTATGATGAAAATTCTTGTGCACATATCTTTGCAAGTGTACAGGACGGCCTCCTTTGAAAAAAATTCTGAGATGTGTGATTGCTTTATTGTCTCCTGTAAGCAGATTTCTTTTTGCTATCCTTACTTAGACTTTGAAAGCTCTTTGCCAATTTTCCTTGGCTTCTGTTCACTCAGGCTTTGGTGCTGTGCTAATACTATTCTTCCAGATCCTGCCAATCTTCTAGATTCATCTTGGGTTCTGCATTCCTCATTGCATCTTGTGCGTGTGTGCTTTTCAAACCCTAGCTCACTGGGAAGCTACAAGTGCAGCTGCACATGATGTTCTATAAACTCCCTTTTCTTTTTTGCCAGCGATGTTTGCAATTACTTGCTTGGAATTTCTGGGTTTCATTACCTCCTGGAGCAGCCTTCTTTTATGGGTATGAATTTGTTTAACACATCTTGTCTTATTTTACCCTAGCAGCCACTCTGTGAAGCCAGCTAAATGTAAGTTTCTTCATTCAATAGATGGGTAACCAGTGGCACAGAGAGGTTTAGACACCACAGCAAAGACACTCAGCAAGCCAGTGGACCCACCCTCAGTCTTCCAGTTTCTTGGACTAAATATGGTTTCTCTTGCCCACACTAGCTGAGAGTGGGGTGTGAACCCACCTGGTAAGGTTGGAGCAAGCATCCTTATGCCTAGAGCCCCTATCCCTTAAAATCCTGGAGGTCAGGTCCATAGTTCTCTCTCCTTTCCTCCGGGGAGAGAAATTCTGCATAGAGAGCTTGTCTAGAATTCCATTTCCCCCACCATGCCCATCCCTTCAAGCAGGCAAAGACGATGACAATTCCTCTAAAGCTAACAGGCAAGCTGTCCTCACCTACTTTCAAAGGATCCTCTGCCCAAGCAAGAGGGAATATGCTGTACACACAGGGACAGAGGCTTCCAGGGCTTTTTCTTCCTCTGTCTCTGTCTCTCTCACACACACACTACAGAGCACTAAGTCTTCCTCTCGCTCTCTCTCAGTGTCTGGCTGTCCCTAACTCACACACAGTGTCACAGTTTTGGGCTCTGGGACAGCCGTCGGCGACAGACACCTCAGCCCCTTTCCTTTCCGTTGGTTCACCGCTCCTCCGTCAGTACCCACCCTCTCCGAGCCCCAGCCCAGCCCCGGGGTGACTCACCCTCCATGCTGCCCACTCCTGCCTGCTCCGGGACAGTCTCGACAGAGGGAGGCAGCCTGCCGCTCTCGGCAGGCAAGGGACAGGGGGTCTCCGGCGCTGGGTTGCTGGCGCGCGCCCCTGCCTCTGCTCTCGGTTCGAAGAGAGCCGGGCGGAAGCGGGCAGTGGGGCGTGAGCTCCCAGGCCCCAGCCCTGCCCGGAGTCTCGCTCCCCTCGCCGCCCGGAGGCGGTCGGGCAGCGGCTGGGGCCGAAGGCTCTGGAGCAGCGCAACTACAC